GGGTCACATCACAGTGGAGTCAGCTGTCTTAACCGTGGCTTGGGTACTGCAAACACATACCAGCTTCATCACTGTGTCTGTCACGCGACTCTGTTCCCCTTTCGGGCTCTGTCTTTACATTTATTTTGAAAGATGAAGCTCGCGATTATGGTAAGGGGCATTACATTTCCGACGAGTGCTTGCGGTGTTCGGCCAATCACAATGCACTGGGTCAGCTGGCCAATCAGAGCAGACTGCGCTTGTCGGAATGAGGGACGAAGCGTTTGAGAGAGGCGGGGCATAGAGGACCTACAATAATGTACAGTATTTGAAAAAGAATGTGTTTTTTGAACATTAAAGCATGTCAACATATTCTGTTACACCAAATACACCAAATAATGATCTTTAAAAAAGCATCATATGACCCCTTTAAATGGTATGGCTCTATAAAGGTATTTTTAGTGCGAAACAACTGAGCGTCTGTGGCAGCGGAATTTGTAGTTTTAGAGAATATCAGTAAATTTGAAGTCACAGACAAAAGTTGCAAACTTGTCGATTTTCTTTTCTCTCCCACGAACACAACACAACAGTTACACCTTCTCGAATCCTTCATTGCAGGTGCACAAATCCTATTCAACGAATCACAAATCAACAAACTCGTACGCTCATGTTTTGCTACTATCGCTGCAGTGAATATGGTGCAAAACACATTCACACACCTGCATCAAAAATGTGAAGTCACGGATGAATTTTGTACATCCGCAAATCAGTATGTGAATTCTTACAATGAGATTTGCACACTTGCAGAATATTTTCTTACATATATTTTTTTGGATGCTTTTTCTAGCACAAACACAAGTGCATAACGACAACGGCGTGAATCTGCTGCTACGAGTCTCAAACCTGTTTTTTTGCTTGCAAATGACAAGTTTCGCGCACTCTCCCTTTTGCACCACATATCTGTGTGACATATGGTGCAAAAGTGATTTGTGCATCTGTAGAGGCGACGGCGGGCACTCTTCAGAGATCAAGAGAATTTTGGCCAATCAGAAGAGCTACACTGTATTCGGTTTTTGTTATTCTTTATAGTTCTTAGATTTTTTTTATGTTCAAGTTTGTGGATCTTATCTTCTGCAACGTCGGGGGTGTATTTTGGAGCCATCGTGACGTGATTACATCAGCTGGTAATTTAAGTTATACAGTTATACGGAATTAATCAGGGAAGCATAATAATTCTACACCGCCTTTTTATCGCAGGTTATGTCAGACAAACGTTACATAACAGTGAGCTAACGTGAAAATAGTAAAGAAAAATTAATTAAGAAACGCCGCTGTTATGTACATCTTTTGTGTTTTATTTTCAGGTTGTGGTCTATTGGTCATGTCATCTGCAACGGAGGTGTATTGGAGTCTTTTCTTGTGATTGCATCGTAGAGGTGGTAACAACAGGTGAGTAAAGTGCCATCAACTACTACATTAGCTGAGTTAGCCACTGGCTGCTGCTCTTCACTAACCCACAGAACGGGTTGTGGAGGAACAGACTAGCAATATATAGGAAGTTTGGCTAACAAATATTATGAATATTGTTTATTTTAAGTTCTGTTACTGTACGTTTTTTTTTTTCTGACCATAAAGTGTAATAACACTAACAGGCTGTTGTGACTCTGTCTGTTACAGGAGATTTCTCCAAGCAAAAACACGGATGCTGACTATTAGTGCCGTGTTCGATATGACGATGTAACAGAGATTTGACGATACGAGTATCGATACAGCTGCCTCTGTATCGATATTATGGCACGTGTGCAGCAGTGGACCGCACTTAATTTGAATACAAGAACACCGTATAAAATGGAGTAGAAAAGTGTGAGGTTTCTAAAAAATAGTGAATAGAGCAAAATATATAGGCTACAACAAGGTTTAATCTGGCCGCAGAGAAACACAGCCGGGGTTGCCTAATATAAAGAGACGTAATCCCCGAAACAGAGCTTCACACTTGCGCAATACGGAAATATCGGCTAAGTGTGTTACTTGTTTTTGTCAACCTGGCAACCATCTGCATGCGCTCTCTCTCCACTGTGGATAAAGCGCTTGCTTTCTGAAAACAGCGGTTAGCTTGCAGTTTAGCAATCTCCACTTCAATATTCTATTCTCAGAAAAGTGTAATTCATCAAGTGTTCATTTACGTCACACACAGAGAGAGGCTGTGTATGTATGAATTACCACCGTTTTGCCGCGTTTCTCTATTAACAGTGAAGCTGTGGCTTTAATTCCTTTTGATGTTACCAGCTCCTTGTTGAGAAAGATGATGTAGCTCTTGAGCCATTAATATTTATAAAATTGATTTATTGATCAAATTGCGGAGCAGCGCTGAGAAGTTTGTGTTGCTGAATGTCTGTGTGTGCGCGAAGCGTGATCTGTGTGACTAAACGTGTGCGTGTGAGATACAGTGAAGACAGCGCATTAGTTTAGAACTCTTCTAACTTTAATTTTTTTAATGTAGAAAGTGTGTTCATTTGTGCAATGATAACATACCAGCAATGTAAAGATTAATTTAATATATTAGTATGAGTAAATGACAATATAAATGTATCAGAACGAGTACATTATTATTTATGGGCTTAAAAACAAGATGCAAACAATCAGAATATTGCACCTGGTGGGGAGTGCCCAATGTAAACATGAAACATATGCTATTACCTATATTGTACTGTGGTACAGTTATGGAGGCCCTTCATAATGCAGAGGTCAGCTGCCTGCTCTGCCAATAGTTCGAACTGGCACTATAGTATGCAGTGTTTAATAAACAGCTGTTTTTCTAAATTCTGCTGAGGTGAAATTCAGTGCAGTCCCGTATCGTATCGTGACTTTGCTGGTGATACACAGCCCTACTGACTATGAGGGGCAGAATCATCATATGGCCAGCTGTCAATTGTATTGAAATTAGGTAACCCAAAATACATCTGATTTTACATTATATTTACATTCATGCATTTGCCAGATGCTTTAATCCAAAGCAACTTGTGCTGCGCTACTTACACATTTTATTGAGTTAAGTTACCCAAACAGTATTTTCAAGTACTTCTTTTGTTTTCTAGTTTGTGGTCTGGATCATGTTATCTGCAATACGGAAATATCGGCTAAGTGTGTTACTTGTTTTTGTCAACCTGGCAACCATCTGCATGCGCTCTCTCTCCACTGTGGATAAAGCGCTTGCTTTCTGAAAACAGCGGTTAGCTTGCAGTTTAGCAATCTCCACTTCAATATTCTATTCTCAGAAAAGTGTAATTCATCAAGTGTTCATTTACGTCACACACAGAGAGAGGCTGTGTATGTATGAATTACCACCGTTTTGCCGCGTTTCTCTATTAACAGTGAAGCTGTGGCTTTAATTCCTTTTGATGTTACCAGCTCCTTGTTGAGAAAGATGATGTAGCTCTTGAGCCATTAATATTTATAAAATTGATTTATTGATCAAATTGCGGAGCAGCGCTGAGAAGTTTGTGTTGCTGAATGTCTGTGTGTGCGCGAAGCGTGATCTGTGTGACTAAACGTGTGCGTGTGAGATACAGTGAAGACAGCGCATTAGTTTAGAACTCTTCTAACTTTAATTTTTTTAATGTAGAAAGTGTGTTCATTTGTGCAATGATAACATACCAGCAATGTAAAGATTAATTTAATATATTAGTATGAGTAAATGACAATATAAATGTATCAGAACGAGTACATTATTATTTATGGGCTTAAAAACAAGATGCAAACAATCAGAATATTGCACCTGGTGGGGAGTGCCCAATGTAAACATGAAACATATGCTATTACCTATATTGTACTGTGGTACAGTTATGGAGGCCCTTCATAATGCAGAGGTCAGCTGCCTGCTCTGCCAATAGTTCGAACTGGCACTATAGTATGCAGTGTTTAATAAACAGCTGTTTTTCTAAATTCTGCTGAGGTGAAATTCAGTGCAGTCCCGTATCGTATCGTGACTTTGCTGGTGATACACAGCCCTACTGACTATGAGGGGCAGAATCATCATATGGCCAGCTGTCAATTGTATTGAAATTAGGTAACCCAAAATACATCTGATTTTACATTATATTTACATTCATGCATTTGCCAGATGCTTTAATCCAAAGCAACTTGTGCTGCGCTACTTACACATTTTATTGAGTTAAGTTACCCAAACAGTATTTTCAAGTACTTCTTTTGTTTTCTAGTTTGTGGTCTGGATCATGTCATCTGCAATACATTCCAGTTGAAGCCTTTTCTCGTGATTGCCAACGTAACGGTGATAACATCAACTGGTAAGTTAGCCGAAGTAAACTAGTTATAGGTCGTTTTTTTTTTAATCGTTATCCATTCCCTGGAAATCAACTCCATTATTTCAGCAATATAGCTCTAAGCTCTCAATGGCAAATGCAGAAACGTTAATTCATGCATCATGACCTCAAGGTTAGATTATTGTAATGCTTTATTGGGTGGTTGTTCTGCGTGCTTAATAACAAACTCCAGCTGGTCCAAAATGCAGCAGCTAGAGTTCTTACTATAACCAAGAAGTATGACCATATTAGCCCAGTTCTGTTAACACTGCACTGGCTCCCTATTAAAGACAAACGCTAATGAGTTATTGTGATTTTTATGGGGTTGTAAAAAAAATATGCTATACAGTGTTGTACCACAATTGGATTGTTTTATACAGGTAAAAAATGAAAATAAACTGAACAGTACTAATACTGACAATACAGTAATAATACATCCAGCTACTGTAAAATTTACAGCAATCTCTTTACAGTGTAGTTTAGGTGCCTATCAGTTGGCACCCGAACGAGCAGGGGGAAAAATAAAATAATAATAAAAAAGTTTGCGAGCTGCGAGCATCTTCCAGAGCTGACAGCAGCAAATACCAATAAAGGTACATTTTCTTTCTTTTTCTGAAATCACTCACTGTTATACTGTACATTTGTTAATAATTTAAATATATTAACAAATATATTTAATCATCTTGTATATGACACTCTCATAATAATCTATTTAATTAACGGGTTAATCAATCTTTTATAAAGCCTCTTTGTGAGTTGCGAGTACTGGGGGGCCACTGTCCTATAGAGTTTCGCTTCAACCCTAATCAAACACACCTCTACCAATTAACTTAGTTAGGATTACTAGAAGGCTACAGGTAGGCGAGTTTTATCATGGTTAGAGCTAAACTCATTTAATATGTAAACTATAAATAAATGTACAGAATTACAGTGAGTAATTTAAGAAAAAGAAAGAAAATGTACCTTTATTGGTCAGCTCCAGAAGATGCTCACGCAGCTCGTTTTTTCTTTTCTTTTTTTCTCCCTGCTGATAGGCGCCCAAACTAGCTCCTCTTGATTGGCCAAAATTCTCTTGATCTCTGAAGAGTGCCCACCGTTGCATCTACAGATGCACAAATCACTTTTGCTCCACGTTTCACACATATATGAGGTGCAAAAGGGAGAGTGCGCGAAACTTGTAATTTGCTGTTCAACTACAAATTCCGCTGTCACAGACGCTCAGTTGTTTTGCACCAAAAATACCTTCATATGGCTCCATCTTACCTTTCTGTCCTACTGACTGAGCACCATTCAACCTGATCACTCAGGTATTCAAATCAGAGACTCCTGTCGATTCCCAAATCAAGGTTGAAATGTAGGGGTGACCGTGCTTTTTCTGTAGCTGCCCCCAGACTTTGGAATGATCTCGATTGGCATCATCTTTGTCTAAGTTAAAAACTTTTCTGTTTGATAAAGCATTTAATACTTGAAGCATTTTCTATTGTATATTACTGTTTTTATTATGTTGAAGCACTTTTTCTTTTATGGTACTCTTTTACAATTTTAATTGTTTCTGTCTTCTTGTTTTATTCTTGTTTTTTGTGGTTTTAGTTATTGTAAAGCATATTGGTCAATGTGGGCTGTTTTTAATCGTGCTATATAAATAAATTGTCATTGTCAAATATTTTAAGTGACTATCAATAGGCGCGTTTCCATTACCCTTCAAATTGTGCAAATTGAAATTGCGAATTGAAAATACGCCTAATGGAAACGCGAAAACGGCCATATATCGCAAAAAAGTTTTTGCGCTCGCATGAGGTGGTTTTTCAGGCAATGCGAAAAAGGATTAATTCGCAAAACTGCAATGGAAACGGCTTTTTCGCATTTACAGGTCACATGGCGTATGTAAAAAGTCACATGATCATTCTTCAATGTACTATAACCTCCAAGAAACACTTCATACATGGCCGCGCTCCAGTATAAGGGGCTTTCCCTACTATTAATACTTAGACAATTTACACTGCACACGTCTGCGGTGCAGTGTGGCTCTGATACGGTCACTGAAGCGGATTACGGCCACTCAATGCTTGTGTTTATGTTTTTATACAGTCTATGGTTTATTGCAGCCGCGCCACACAAGTTTTTGAACCGGCTCTCTTTGCTGCTTCTGTAAAGATACATGCATAAGCCTCCTTTGAATAAATATAGCCAAAATCCATCAAAATCCCACCAAAATCTGTTACCATGACTTATCGCGAGAGGCAAAGGGTTACGTTTTAGCCACATAACATTGGTTAATGGAAACGCCGTCATTTCGCAATACTTTTTTATCGACATTCAGAAAATATCGCCAAAGTTTTGCGCAAATCTGTAATGGAAACGCGCCTAATGAGAATGATGCTGTTTGTACCCCATATAGTGTAGTTACAATATTTGCAAGCAGGGCAATTCTAACCAGCAAAGAATTGACCCTGACTTGATACAGAAACTACACTTTTAAGTTCTTACATTTCTTGAGGTTTTTTTTTCTGTACGCTTTTATTTGGTAATTAGGAAATAGAGCTTTTGCTTCTATGACTCTAAAATTAAAATGTGGAATCTGACCTGGAGAAAAGCTCCTCGACACTCTGGAGTTCACGAATTCTCTGCAGGTTACAGAGAGCTGGATAGAGTGAAGACACGGCCTCCAGACTACCACGACACAACTCCTCGACCTCATGACCTCTGACAAAACACAAACACATACAAATCAGATAGAGGACCCTCTATGCACAGAATCCATATCTGTAATTGTTACTTATGGCTGTTCACACCCAGAACTATAACTATAAAGATAACTATTAGCATCCATACCAACACACTATATCGTTCTGTTTAAAAGTGTGCGGCAGTTAAGTTGTCTGCCCCTTTAAATACTCAAGCTCAGTCAGGAGTACTCTAATTGGCTGTCGAAGTTTTTATCATTCATCAGCTGGAAAAAAAAATCAATCAAATGATATTGTTCCTCTGTGTCTTTATCATTACAGTTGTGGGGTGGACTTTGGTATTCTCATAGAATTAGAACAATTATTAAAACTTTATAGTTTGTAGTTATTGTTTTTGGTGAGAACAGGCCTGGGATGAGTAGTTTAGTTACCTGGCGTAGTTGAGGGTTTGCTCAAATAGGGAGAATTCTCTATCTCTCAAAGCCTGGACGGCATTGAACAAGGACTCGTTGATGCCAGGCTTCAGCTTCTCATTTCTGAAAATAAAAATAAAATGAAAAATGTAAATATAACAATTACATTTTCATATCTCACATTTTTATATTTAATTATACATTTATTTTAGTGGCAGAGTAGACTAAATATACCACAGTATAAAAGGTACAATAGAATCTCAACTGACTGACACGTTTCTACCGTAACCCTAATGCAAACTTCTACTAATGATTAAAGAGTGTAAATACAAACCCACACCTCTCAGGCAGGTCACAGTCCCACTGTGTGTTTCTCCACGCCGCCTGAAAGCGTAGCTCTCGAAGTTCAGGACCCCACTCCACCCCTTCTTTCTCCAGCCCATGAAGATACGTGTTTAGAATACTACACAAACCAAAGTTCTGCAGACCCTGAGAAAGACACAAACTAACCACTGTTGACCAGAGATCACAATTTTAAATGCAACCATTCTCATAATTTTGCAGAAAACGAACCTCTACTATGCCGGTCTGCCGTGTGACCTCTGGGAGGTTGGAGTGGAGGTCGTATGAAACCAAAGCCTTGTCCCACATGGCCTCATGTTCATATGTTCGAATTCTGGAGACCACAAAGAAAACAAAAACAGCACTTCTAAATTTAGATGTTAATTAGTAAGAAAGTAATAATAATGACCTGTTACTTCAAATTAATTAATGCATTAACTAACATTAAACAGTGAGCAACTCATTTGTTTCATTAATCTACATACATAAAGTATTCGTTAATCTTTGCTAATGTTAGTGAAGACAAATGCAACTTAATTCTTAGCACATTAAATAATGTTAACGGAAACAACTACCAGATTTTAAAGGGGTCATATGATGCTGCTAAAAAGAACATTATTTTGTGTATTTGGTGTAATGAAATGTGTTAATGTTTTTTAAGGTTAAAAAAAACACATTCTTTTCCACATACTGTACATTATTGTTTCTCCTCTATGCCCCGCCTTTCTGAAATGCGTCGATTTTTACAAAGCTCATCGATCTGAAAAGCGAGGTGTGCTCTGATTGGCCAGCTATCCAGTGCATTGTGATTGGCCGAATACCTCAAGCTTGTGACGGAAATGTTACGCCCCTTTCCATACTGTGATGCCGTGTCCGGCCGGAGCGACGAGACAAAAACATGAAAACCCATTATAAACGAGGCATTTGTTGCATCCAGTGGGGACATAATTACTGATTCTAATGATTTATACTGTCTTTTTACACGTTGCGTTGCAACGTTGCATGAAGAGGATCACGCAGAACCCGTGCAAGCACGGCTCTTCATTTTATGTTTTTTTGTTGTCTCATACTTTTAGATACGCTGTTATTTGTAAATGCCACTGCTTATGTTAGCTTTTAATATTCGGTTTTATCCTGATCAAAGCTTTAATACAGCAGAATACATGATTGCGTTGTAGCACTTTCGTTAAGTAATTGTTTACTTTGTAACAGTAAGAAGTGTTTGCCAGCAAGTATTGCTCGCTACCACGGCAACCGCATACGCGTCCATGTTTAACGTTTCTCATAGCTATGTGAAAAATATCTGTCTGTCTATACACAAAGTGTACAATTGGAACACAGTTCATTGTTGGAGCTGAGCTGACGTGAGGAACAGGATTAAGAACCGCTGCTTTAAAACTTTGATTTTGAAACTTGTGAATCCATTAGAATCATCAGAAGACAGAATCACGATTCATATTTGAATAGATTTTTTCGTGCACCCCTAGTTTTGATGGCATGGCAACAACTCTTCCTCTTCTTGCAACATGGCAAACAAAGGGGTCGGGGGTTATGCAAATGTCTGGGTTTGTGATGTCACCAACCCAGGAAGTAGCTCATTGTAATACCTATTAGTCCCTATGAGCCGTATTTGTAGGCATTAAACTGCCATAATTTTAAAAGACAATTGCTGTGTCCCAATTCGCCTACTTATACTACACCCTAAAAGTATGTACTCTTTTTGTGAAGAAAAGTACATACTTTTGAGCATGTAGCGGAATAGTAGGCAAGCTTTGCTTGTGACGGAAATGTTACGCCCCTTTCCATACTGTGATGCCGTGTCCGGCTGGAGCGACGAGACAAAAACATTAAAACCCATTATAAACGAGGCATTTGTTGCATCCAGTGGGGACATAATTACTGATTCTAATGATTTATACTGTCTTTTTACACGTTGCGTTGCAACGTTGCATGAAGAGGATCACGCAGAACCCGTGCAAGCACGGCTCTTAATTTTATGTTTTTTTGTTGTCTCATACTTTTAGATACGCTGTTATTTGTAAATGCCACTGCTTATGTTAGCTGTTAATATACGGTTTTATCCTGATCAAAGCTTTAATACAGCAGAATACATGATTGCGTTGTAGCACTTTCGTTAAGTAATTGTTTACTTTGTAACAGTAAGAAGTGTTTGCCAGCAAGTATTGCTCGCTACCACGGCAACCGCATACGCGTCCATGTTTAACGTTTCTCATAGCTATGTGAAAAATATCTGTCTGTCTATACACAAAGTGTACAATTGGAACACAGTTCATTGTTGGAGCTGAGCTGACGTGAGGAACAGGATTAAGAACCGCTGCTTTAAAACTTTGATTTTGAAACTTGTGAATCCATTAGAATCATCAGAAGACAGAATCACGATTCATATTTGAATAGATTTTTTCGTGCACCCCTAGTTTTGATGGCATGGCAACAACTCTTCCTCTTCTTGCAACATGGCAAACAAAGGGGTCGGGGGTTATGCAAATGTCTGGGTTTGTGATGTCACCAACCCAGGAAGTAGCTCGTTGTAGTCCCTATGAGCCGTATTTGTAGGCATTAAACTGCCACAATTTTGCTGTGTCCCAATTCGCCTACTTATACTACACCCTAAAAGTATGTACTCTTTTTGTGAAGAAAAGTACATACTTTTGAGCATGTAGCGGAATAGTAGGCAAGCTTTGGTACATACTACTTCGTCATAACTGCGTCTTTAACGGACGCTCTGTTGCTTAGTTAAGTGCATTCTGTCACTGTCAATCATCTCGTCACAGTTAACAAAATCCACATTTCATTTCGTTTAATTTCCTACCGTACCGGAGAGAACCAGGAAGTAGCTCATTGTAATACCTATTAGTCCCTATGAGCCGTATTTGTAGGCATTAAACTGCCATAATTTTAAAAGACAATTGCTGTGTCCCAATTCGCCTACTTATACTACACCCTAAAAGTATGTACTCTTTTTGTGAAGAAAAGTACATACTTTTGAGCATCACCAACCCAGGAAGTAGCTCGTTGTAGTCCCTATGAGCCGTATTTGTAGGCATTAAACTGCCACAATTTTGCTGTGTCCCAATTCGCCTACTTATACTACACCCTAAAAGTATGTACTCTTTTTGTGAAGAAAAGTACATACTTTTGAGCATGTAGCGGAATAGTAGGCAAGCTTTGGTACATACTACTTCGTCATAACTGCGTCTTTAACGGACGCTCTGTTGCTTAGTTAAGTGCATTCTGTCACTGTCAATCATCTCGTCACAGTTAACAAAATCCACATTTCATTTCGTTTAATTTCCTACCGTACCGGAGAGAATGAAGAGGCACGCTGGTCTGCCAGTCGCAGGTCTTTCATGCCGAGAACGGCTCATGTGTTTGCATAATGATGCATTTAAAAGTTAATGACCAAACGTATCATTATAAAAGTTCACAATGTTGCTGCAGATGAAATATAACGTGCAAAACGTTAAATAAATATTTTTAATCAGGTTAGACATTGATTATTTATCACTCAAACCGCTTTCTTTGCCTGTACGTCGGTCTCGCATATTTCTCGCATGTTTCTAGTTTTTAAACACTTTTTATGCGTGTTTGTAGTGTAGCTGTGGGCAATATTAGCCGTTAAGAGTGTGCATCGATCTGCACTCATATTCTAATCTCAAGTAGTAGACCATCAAGGAATCTTTGGCATTCTCTTTTCAACAAACTACGATTTGGGACATACTAATTCTATTTTCGAAAACTATTTAGAACGGATAGTATGCAAATTGGGACGCAGCAAATATCTCCGTTTGCATTGAACTTTCAGGATCGTAACTTTGCAGATACTGTTTATGCTCAAACAGCAACATTACCTTAACTAAAGATTAAAAAGTGAAATCACAATCAACCACCACTTTAATTCATATATTTATGAAAGTTTTGTGAATGAGGCCTGTTGTGCATACAGTACAGACATATTTACATTTATTAAAATACCTGGATTTACTTCAAGATCATTTATGATTGGAAAGTCTCACCTAGTCAGAGGACTGATTAACTTGCCTCCTCCACATCCATACAGGCTGTCAGGTTCTCCAATGCATCTGTACACTTCAATCAGAAGATCCTGAGATGGGAAAATTAAACCATGTACTGTACTTAGTCTTACTTAATATCCCCAGTATTTTACTGCATTATGATCAATGAAGTGCTGTAGAGTGTCTGAGCGGTGCAGAGTGTAAGTAGAACACGGAGTGAAACTGCAGTGAAATGTAACAAGAAATGATTTTGAGAAGTGTTTGCAATACGCTTTGAGAGAAAAAGAGAAATGGTTGTCGCTCCACTCTACTTACATGCTCTGATACCCATCACCCACCTGGAGACTGATGCCAGAGTCTTCTAAACTCTTTTCATTCACACTGCTGATGGACAGTGTCTGGCTGCTCTCCTCAAACGTGATCCGTCTCGACACTCGAGACTGTGGCCTGAGACAAACACATGCATCTGGTCACCACACAGCTCTTCAAAACAACTAATGAATCTGGAGTATAGAACACTATGATCATGATTACAGTACACATTAAGTAGATGACACATTACATATAGCCTAACAGTAAGCAGAGAGTCGCTGGCAGACAGTACCTTTGGATCTGCTCCATGTCGGATCTGATCTTGTCCACGTAGATCTCAGAGTACAGGAGAGCAGTGAAATGGGCAGAACACATCTGAGCGGCTCCAGCCACCTCCAGATAATTTAGATCCAGCCAAAAATTTGAATCACACACCGTCCCATATTCATGACTTTAAAAAACAAAATGTCAAAGTTGAATCCATAATTAAAGCAGTGTACAATTTGTGAGAATGTAACAATGTGTTTTAACTATTTAACCAGGTGTCATTACAAATGATCAAAAAAGCAAACTGGTACCACACAGAAAAGATACACAAGTTCTGTCGTCGCTCCAATCAGCAACATTCATCTTATTCATTTCGCCAATGAGTTTTTCTCAAATACATTTTTCATTTGTTTACTAACAAATGTCAAACAGTGTATGCAGTAAATTCAAGTCATCAGCTTTTCCACCATGATGTATTGTTTTGATTGTTTTCATATTTCATGGTGGAATGTTTTAAGTCACGATAAGGCTAACTACAAAGGTAGCATTTTTTCTATAACCTAATGTCACATATTTGTATAATTTGACTGCAAAATCCAAATACTTTATGGTTGTCATTTTTCATTTCAAGCATACTCAAAATGAGTTATTTTCTCTGTAAGCAATTACACTAATGCATATAATATTTTTAGTCAGCAAGGACGTGTTAAATTGATCAGAAGTGACAGTAGACACTTGTAACGTCTCTTTTTTATATCAAATAATTGCTGCTCTTTCAAACTTTCTATTTATCAAAGAATCCTCTACAAAAATAGTAATAGTATCACGATTTCTACAAAAAAGTAGTAAGCAGCTTTTTGAGCTGCAAATCAGCATATTTGAATGACCATGTGACGGTAAAGGATGGAATTATGGCTGCTAAAAAAATCAGTTTTGCCATCACAGGAACCGATTTGCAGGATGACAATAAAAAGATTATTCTAAGGGGATTCTAATTTCTAACTTAAACAGTATTTGTAACTGATCCGCTGTTGCGTTCAAGAAATAAGCAGATATGTCTGTGATTGTCTACAGTGCTCAATGCTGCAAATAGATGTGCAAACCATTACGCACTGGATAGTCTGCCAAATCTGCAATGAATTCTCATTACTACAGCTTTAACTGAGGGTGCTATTGAATTCATTTGAGGGTGCTTTGTAGGGCTGTCAAAATGGCTGAAAAACTAAATTCGAATTTTTTTACTTAAATACTATCAATATTCAAATTATATTCGAATATAAAAGGCATAATTTCAGTTAGGGTTATAATTTCTCTCCTGAGGCCACAAGAGGGTGCATCGAGCAAAATATTACTAATGCACATTTCTTCAAAGCAATAAAATAACACGACTATCTTTGGAAAAAGTGCATAATGTTTAAAATAACGTTTGCAAAACCATATATAATTAATGAAGTTGCTTAAACAATTAGAAACAAAACAGCATCATGCATGTATGTACAGTTTAATATAAAGGATTGAAAACCAATCACAAAGACTACTTTTTTTCATTTAAAAACATGAGATGCAGTGGGATGGGGAAAAACCACCATGAAGTCTCGAGAAAGGTTTTTTAAAAGTTGAACTTGCATTAATTTTACATGGCTTTCTAAACAAGGCTCTCTTGTGCGAGGCGCGAGTGCAACGGTGATAGATGTCCCTATAGAAAATGCGATACGTATATGTTCTGTGTGAACGGTTTGGTTTCAGTTTTGACGTAAACAACATCTTCTCCGCATTGATGTTCCTTTTTCCCCGCAATATTTTGAATGAACAACGTAGCAGAGCTGCATCCAGTGGGTTCAACTGGATAGGCTAAAAACCCATTAAAATGCAACGACACTTACATCGTCATCGCATCTCGTGTGCCATTGATAAGGCTGCCTGACGCACACCTAAAATTCTAATGCAAAATTTGTGCATTCAAATGCGGATAAATTCGATGAATATTCGAAATTTAAAAAAAAAAAATTTTTTGACAGCCCTAGTGCTTAGCACTATCTAGCACCCCCATAGAACCGGGCCTGAATGATAAATGTGACACCACCTATACTTTCAGCAGTGGCAGTAAGAGTGCATGCATATTCAAAAATCACATTTAGAATTGTATACTGCTTTGGATACACAGAATTTGACAGAAATGAAAACTTGTCCAACCTTCCAGGTGCCACTGGGCGGCTCTGTTGCCTGAGATAGTCTATGACTGCCATCATGCTGCGGAGTGAGGTTTTGTCTATCTGGCTCTGGTTGCCAACATCAATACTGTTCCCTGTTAAAACAGGGAAAAAAGAAGAAGAAAAAACATTCTCTTGTAAGGAATGAAAATTAAGGCAGCATTGAAGCAGACCAAGCTGTTATGTCACAGTCAACACTTCAGCTCCTATCAAATAGCTTTGTACCTGAATCAGAGAGCATGGGGGTGGTGGGGCGGCTGGTGGGTGTGGAGGGTCTGCGGCACTGATTGAAGAAACTCTGGATGTTTGTGGATAACAGCTGTCTCCAGGAACCATCCACATCTCCCAGAAGAATATCATGAACAAAGAGTGGCAGCATCCTCTGACAAAATTCTGTTTTTACCTACAGCAGTAAAAGAGTTTTTCACTTAGACTCTGTTTTCCATTTGCATTGAGACTTTGGGTCAGATAAATACTTGTGTGTAAAACCATTACAATGGATCCTCAAAATACAGCACGGCTACTGTTTCGTCAGTGTACCTCACATAAAGGCCTGGTGAGAAGCAGAGCCTCATTGCGGACACCTCCACTGTCTAACAGGGCCATACACAGGTTCTTTAACCAGTCCTTGTGTCCACCAGGTTGCACTAACCAGAGTTCAGCATTGTCCAGCCTATGTCTGGACTCTGAGGTCACTTCCATACTCACAATGGTCTCCTGTATAAAAGAGCAGATAAATCCTATAAGGCAGTGCTTCCCAAACCTGTCTCGGGACATGTCTTCCTTTTATAACACACCTAATTCAAGTCACCAGCTCATTAGTAGAGACTGCAATTTGGTGCGTCCGACAAGAAACACATACAAAGTGTACAGTGGTGGGCAGTCCCAAGGACAGTTTTGAGAAGCACTGCTATAAGGAATGGACCACTTTATGGATAACTTTTCTTTTTGATGTTAGTAATTATTTAAACATCCGTTCACTCATTTGATTATTAATGGTTTAGCAGTTCACAAATATTTAGCGTGCAGTATGAATCAAGTGTGTCCATAAAAAGAATGTATCTAGACATATGTCAACGTGAAAGACTTGCCCGTTTCTTGGCAGAGCGAAAGGGGTTTAGGTATGCCAGCAAAGGGTCCCTTTTGCTTTTATACATTTCCCCAAATTCAATCCCACACTGAGTGGCCAATATGTCCTTCAGACATATGCCAGCAGCCTGACGCACTGCAATACTGAAATAAAAAAAGAGATAAGACATAGAATTATGGTCTAATCGGTGCACGTGCATTCATAATTATTGCTATCAGAAAGCAAAGTCTAGAAATAGTTTCTTGATTAAGGACTAAGTGTGAAAAAGTGTATGATCTGATAATTAAGTTGTAATGAAGTGCCTGTGATGTGTAAGTGCATTGTCCATGCAGTTCAGGATGATGAAGATCCACTGAAAAGGAACGTCAGGGAACAAATCGGCTGCTCTAGCATACAGCTGGTCTTTCCCATGGTGCAAAGCAATGGATGATAAGTCAACTGGACCAAGTTCTCCTAGGCACCGGCCAGCAGCCTCTGAAGAGTAAATGATAAAAAAAAAAAACATTTGGTAAAGTAAAAAAAAATTTTTAAAAAAAAGACAGGCTACACAGCTTATTCATTAATGACTAAATGAAATCAAAATTTCAACAGAGTACAAAGTAGTCTTGCTGTGCTATCAGAATCGAAAATGGTATTGGTACATACGTTGGTATCATTTTAGTAATTTGTATCCAATAAAAAGCTCCACCTGCCTCCAGCTAATAATGTAAACAGTAAATTATGGTTCACATAAAAAAGGAGGACAACATGTCCTTCTGCAATTTCATCAGGAAAATATATATCAACACGTCATAAAAACGGCACTTGTCATGCCAGTTCATTTCTTATATTGCACGTCAATACTGAAAAACACTTACTCAAGATGTCTCCTCCACCAGGATGGTTAGCTGCGATTTTGCAAAGCTGAAGAAGGTTAAGAACCAGCTTCACCAAAATACAGCTGGCAGGATCAGCTAAACAAACACAAATATCAGATATGGACATGAAGCATTAGGACACTGCTAGTACGGTTAGAGCTAAAGCACATTTAACGATTGCATAAAAATGCTCACTAATGTGATTCTGACCATGGCATTCTTTCAAGAGTTGTCCTATCTGCTGTTTATGGCTGTGAAGTTGCCTTTTTAGATCTTTCAACCCCTCCAAACGGGCCAGGGGCAAAGAATCACAAGATGTTACAGACAGAAAATGCTCAATTTCCTGCGATAGACAGAAAAATGGGAGGGACGAGATTAATTGTCAATGTTCAGGCATATCTTAGATCACCCGTGTCAATTGGATCTGAAACCATTACAAATGACGCTTTTGGATAAATGTAAATGTAAATAATGCGGGTCTACACAGCATTTCTGAAAAAGACTATAATATTGACCTGTCTGAGAGTGAAGGCTCCTGAGCTGTATTTGAGAGCGTGTTGGGCGGCTCTCAGATCTCTAAAGCGTGCTCGGTCAGGAAAAGGCTCCAATAGGGGTATGGAATTTCTCAACATGCTGTTCTCCGGGTTTTCAATTACCAGGAACCTTAGTAGACTGAGGACCTAAAAGCATACAATGTGTTATAATTCCCTGCTGAATAATGAATCAAATCACACATGCGAATAGGGCTAGGAAACATATTTACAATATATTTATTATCATTCTGGTAGTGATATAAAATTAACCAACATTGTTAATAGCGCAATTGACTTTAAATCAGTACTGCAAACCAGTTTTAAATTCCTGACTTAAAACCTTAACATAATAAAAAATAAAAAATAAATACAGTTTAGAAATAAAATCAGTTTTTAGTAAATCAGTATTTTTTTTTTAGGTTGACAATTAAAAAATTGGCCACACCATCATTTTTCCATTACTTTTTCTAAATATGAAATTTTTTAAAACATTAAGTATTTCAGATTAGATTTTTACATATCCATTAAATATTTTCATTTTTTAATTACATTTAAATTAAGATTTGTTTTAAAAGAAGTAATTCCTGAGAAAATATATGAGTATAATAAGATAAGAGACATCAACAAGGCTGAAAAATATAATGAAAATATTAAATAATTTCCTTTAGCTGCAACGCCCAGCCCTGTAAACACATATACATAGAGGACAACTTATCTCATAAATTTAAGGCAAAATAGCAATGGGAAAACACACTAGAACAGTACTTCTCTACCTTTTAGGCTATTAAGGTCCCCCGCTGCCCACTAACCAACATGTTCCTGACAGTTAAACATATGAGAGGTTACTCTGCAATAAAAAACATACTGCAAGTTTCCAAACTCCCCAGTTTAAAGGGGTCATATGATGTTGCTAAAAAGAACATTATTTTGTGTATTTGGTGTAATGAAATGTGTTTATGCGGTTTAAGGTCATTATTTTCCATACTGTACATTATTGTTTCTCCTCTATGCCCCGCCTTTCTGAAGCGCGTCGATTTTTACAAAGCTCATCGGTCTGAAAAAGCTAGGTGTGCTCTGATTGGCCAGCTGTACAGTGCGTTGTGATTGGCCGAATACCTCAAGCGTGTGACGGAAATGTTACGCCCCTTACCATATTGTGATGCCGTGTCCCGGCGCGACGAGACAAAAACATTAAAACCCATTATAAACAAGGCATTTGTTGCATCCAGTGGGGATATAATTACGGATTATAATGACTTATACTGTCTTTTACGTGTTGCATTGCATCGCGCTGCGTAAACATAAAACCATGTCTGCATTTGTGATCGAAGAAATGACAAACAACAAGAGCTACTCTACACTGCTCAAAACTCACGTTTGAATCGTCAGTGGCAAATCCTTTAAATGAAAAAGTACTTACAGTCTGCGAGTCAGAACAGCCGGCATTGTAGTCTACTCTACCAGGATCAGGAAGCAGTCCTCCATAAAATGTGCTGCATACATCTGAATATTTGGGTTGAACTGTTCTGGAACAGTATTGTAAATACAACTTAACCAGTGATTTCTAGTCGTGTCCTCTTTTGGAAGGCCAAACAAAGTAGTTTCGCTTTCACAACGAAACACACGGCAGGCTAGAGTGAGGAACGGCCAGCGGGCTTGAGAACGGCGTGGCCGGAGGGCTTGCGAGCACCACATGTGACGACCCCGGGCTGGACTCCGCTTCGTCTACGGTGAAAGCCAATTCGGCGATCCGCCACACGAAGTTGATGTATTTCCTCAGCGACCAGCACGGATCAGCTCTAGGCATGACGAAGCAGATATCGTCCTCTTTTGGAAGACCAAACAAAGTAGTTTCGCTTTCACAACGAAACACACAGCGCCTTCACGATATGGCGGCGGCGGCAGCAACAATACTACAGCGAGAATCAAAGTTACGCCTTCTTTCTTTGCGTGAACATTTGGGCGGCGTAATGCAAATATTCCCACATCGTGATGTAGACATGTGGGGGTGTGTTAGAACTAGAGGTCGACCGATAGTGGATTTTACCGATACCGACAGCTAGGTTGGACCACACTGGCCGATACCGATTAATCAACCGATAGTTTTTAAAATGGTAAACGAAAACTAAAACAGCACTTTTTCTATTTTTAAAAAAGCAGTACTGAACCATACTTTGTAAATGAATAAACATATTAATTATTATATTGATCATTAGAGTTATTTCATAGTTTACTAATGTTAAAAAAAGAAACTTTAAAATGTAAAAATATAGCCTATTAGTAATAGTAAATGTTGAAATGAACACACTAGGAACAATACTTTTACAGCTTTCATTAATATTACAAAAGGACTCTTACTGTAAAGTATTACCATTTAATTTCAACAGTCATGCTTAAATATGGCCATCTTTAAATATCTACATAAGGCCATAGCATTAAAATTACATACATACGTTATTGATATTGTATGTGTACTCTCACACTTTATTTGCTTCTATTTTAGAACACTGCATGATTATCTAATCAAAATAAAAAAAAATATGCAAGTCACACACTGGACAAAAGTGCAGCGATGCGTTCTCGGAGAAGTCACTCACACTTCAATTCAAGCAGCGGTCTAAAACTGTTTATTTAATCACCAAATGGACATAAGTTTGCTTCAAGAATGAACAATGTGGCATAAATGAGTTTGAGGTTCGGTGTTTAAAAAAACAGAACAAAGGGAAAGAGAGTGCGCGATCTGTATTACAGCTCTCTATATGAAGCATAAAGACTGTATTAGAGCCACAGAAAGAACACAATACATAATTTATAGCCTAGGGTGAAGTCATTACGTACATTAACAATGATTTGGGACAAATATAATGTAATTTAATGGAAAACTATGTGAATGGCGCTCTGGTCCGCGTCAGGATTTTCTGTCGGCTGCATTTAAATGCACGTTTGAAGTTTCCCGCTCTGTGCAGCGCGCAGTGTCACGTGTCTAAACAAACAACACGTGCTGTTAGTGATTTCCGCTCTCGTACTGTATAATGGCAGCAGACCCTTCTCAGCCACCCCAGCAACAGACGCAACCCGGAAAACTATCGGCATTGATTTTTGCCGATAACCGATAGTTCCGCCAATCAACTATCGGTGCCGATTAATCGGCAAAACCGATGAATCGGTCGACCTCTAGTTAGAACGAGCCGTTTTAGGTAGGTGTGGTTGACTCTTAACTTTTATAAAGAATATCTCTTTGGATTTGAGACTTTAGTCTTTGCAACTTTACAGATCTTCTTTATGTACCAAGAGCTTGTAACACTCCAAAGAGAAAGGAAAAATTTTTATCGATTCATATGACCCCTTTAAAATATGAATTATTCTATTCTAACCTTCTGAAATGCCATGGTTTGAAATCGTGAGAATGCAGATCTTAATGTGAATCATCGTTTTATGTAATTACAGAGGTGTGGTTTAAACAACAAAAAACTTAAACGCTGTTCCTGCTAGTTGAGTTTAAACCCATCTGTTATCTATACTGTAATTATTTTATATTCAGAAATCGATCAAAGATCATTCTCTTTATAATTGCTGGAACAGTGATTGGATTTCTGCATTTTTGACAAAACTCCCATTATAATCAAAGAAACAGTTTACACTGCTTAACGTAAACAAACAACACGTGCTGTTAGTGATTTCCGCTCTCGTACTGTATAATGGCAGCAGACCCTTCTCAGCCACCCCAGCAACAGACGCAACCCGGAAAACTATCGGCATTGATTTTTGCCGATAACCGATAGTTCCGCCAATCAACTATCGGTGCCGATTAATCGGCAAAACCGATGAATCGGTCGACCTCTGGTTAGAACGAGCCGTTTTAGGTAGGTGTGGTTGACTCTTAACTTTTATAAAGAATATCTCTTTGGATTTGAGACTTTAGTCTTTGCAACTTTACAGATCTTCTTTATGTACCAAGAGCTTGTAACACTCCAAAGAGAAAGGAAAAATTTTTATCGATTCATATGACCCCTTTAAAATATGAATTATTCTATTCTAACCTTCTGAAATGCCATGGTTTGAAATCGTGAGAATGCAGATCTTAATGTGAATCATCGTTTTATGTAATTACAGAGGTGTGGTTTAAACAACAAAAAACTTAAACGCTGTTCCTGCAAGTTGAGTTTAAACCCATCTGTTATCTATACTGTAATTATTTTATATTCAGAAATCGATCAAAGATCATTCTCTTTATAATTGCTGGAGCAGTGATTGGATTTCTGCATTTTTGACAAAACTCCCATTATAATCAAAGAAACAGTTTACACTGCTTAACGGATCTCTTATTTACATTGTGTTTTCACTCAGTAGACATGACTGTGTTCAGCTGCAGCACAGCGATGCAACCTTGAATGCTACAGGAGTAGATTAAATATAATGCAATAATCAACACTTTTCATGATTAGCTAAACTTAGCAGCTGATACAGTACATTATAAAATAACAGATTGTGACCTAAAGTTAACAGGTCATGCTCATTCACTCTTCTCTCTCACCTGCTGAGATATGGCAGACTGATCAGTGACCTGTGCTGTGAGAGTACCAACAATAACCTGCAGGTGGCTCTCTAGAGCATCATCACAGTACTGAACAGCTGTCTGACAGACCAGGGACAACAAGTCACAACACAGGGAGAGACTCCGAGTGGACACCTCATCCTGCTGACATGACCTACAGCAGAAAATAAGACCTCACTTATCTGTTTCTCAATGATTTCCGATAACATGAACCACACACAAAAAAAACATCCCGCCACTAATACTAGAAGATATTTTTGTGAATTCATTGCACATACAGTGGTGGCCAAAATGATTAGAACACTAGTATTTTCACCAGATAAGAAATGGTTTTAAGTCAGTTAATTCTATCTTTTGCTGTAGTGTGTCAGTAGGAAATATCAGTTTACATCTAATTGTAATAATCTGGTTTATTACAATTAATGGCAAAATGACTGTTTGGAAACACACTACAGCAAAAGATAGAGATAACTGACCATTTTTCAGCTGGTGAAAATACTGGCCACCACTAAATATAACCCTAAAACATCCCTAATACTGTGTGTGCACAGACCTGCTGTTGATGTGGTGAATGAGCGTATAGATGATGTCACGCAGCACAAACGCCCAGGCTCCGCCCAGCCCGTCCTTCACCTCTCTGAGCAGCAGGCTGACAAACAGGTGGTACATCATAAGTATGCGGTGCCTCTCATAGCCGTTGGTGGTCTCAGCAGCCTTCTGACAGATTGCTATGAGAATCTTCTGAATGGACATCTGAAACATACAGAACACAGACGGACGCAGGAGTCTTATAAAGAAATAAGCAGATGCTCAGGTGAAATAGGAATATGCAAGTTTGTGTGGGAGGCTCACAGGAGTCTTGGACAGGATGGCGACCAGAGACTTGTGATTGGCACTGTGGCATTTGCTCAGGTAGTCCAGCGTGGCTTTGATCACATATGAGCTGAAGAACGGTGGGTTTGGAGCAGGATCCAACTCTCTAATTACAAAAGTTAAAGCATGTTTATGAAATTTCTCTTGATTCCTATAGGGTTTCCTATGTTTGATGATACACAAACTGAAATAGCAAGATAATCTGACAAATTTTTGTGTCAAATTAAAATGAAAATTTTTTTTAAATGCCATAAACGTCATTTTCATGGTGAGAGCCAGGTTTAGTTATTCAAGATTGCATACAGCCAATCTGCCTCCACCAAATCAACAACTGCTAGACAGATTTTTTTTTCTTTTTCAATAATCCCTTTCACTCAGATACATGCCACAATTCAGAAAAAAATATACTTCTATTGCAGCCATCAAGACTTTAAAACAATGGCATTTAACCTTCAACCCAAAGTACAATTAACTGGTGAGCTTATTAAAGTGCGCCTATTATGGATTTTTGAAAATGACCTTTCATGCAGTGTGTAACACAGCTCTAAGTGAATGAAAACACCCTGCAAAGTTTTAAATCTGAAAGTGCACCGTGCATAAAGTTATTGTCTCTCAAAAGAAAGAGTCGACTGAATCATTGAAATGAGTCGTTTTTAAAACGAATCCCAAGCCGTTTCATGTTGACGTCAACATGAAACATTAGCATATTACCCGCCCACTTGTTGGTCTTTTCGGGTTGGTCTGAATGAAAATGCAAATTCATTCTTTGCCACTAGGTGCCGCTTTAGGAGCGGTATAATAGCGGTAAACAAAGCAGCACTGCGCTCACAAACGCTGCTTTATTAGGCATTACAGGCATGATGAAATGAAAATGAGACCAATCGAACCAATCACCGCAGATTAGCATCACGCAAAGTAGGGGTTTGGAAAAATGAATCGTCGAGCGAATCGTTTGGGAGTCGTTAAACAAGTAAAGTAAAAATAAATGCATATTATAAGATAATGAAAGTGTTTTTTGACTTTGCATGCATGTCAACCTGTTGTTGGTGACTCCCAAAACCAAAATATGAACCTTTCATTATTCCCATAATAGGGGCACTTTAATATTAATCAGGATAGTAGGATTTATAATTTTGTCACCTGCTTACCAAACGGAGTTGGCAGTACATGACAATGCATAATTTGGCATCTTTAAACGTCTTGGTATTATTTTGGTATTGACTTGGCACTAAAACCATGTTTGACATCACTATTTTATGCTAAATGTACACTGCCGTTCAAACGTTTGGGATCAGTAAGATGTTTAATGCTTTTTAAAGATGTTTCTTATGCTCATCAAGGCTGTATTTATTTGATCAAAAATACAGAAAAAAGCGTAATTTGGTGAAATATTATTGAAATTTAAAATAACAATTTTCTATTTAAATATACTTTAAAATACAATTTATTCCTGTGAAGCTGGAAGCTGAATTTTCAGCATCATTACTCCAGTCTTCAGTTTTAGAAATCATTCTAATATGCTGATTTATAATCAATGTTGGAAACAGTTGTGCTGCTTAATATTTCTTTTGGGACCTGTGACCTGGGATTAAGCAGCACAACGGTTTCAAAACTGCTAATAAATCAGCATATTAGAATGATTTCTGAAGGATAATGTGACACTGTAATGGCTGATGAAAATTCAGCACTGTGTCACAGAAATAATCATATTTTAAAGTATATTAAAATAGGAAACCAATATAAGAATTTCAAAAAATCACTGTTTTTTCTGTATTTTTGATCAAATAATAATTGATGAGCATAAGAGACTCCATTAAAATTCTTACTGATCCCAAACTTTTGGACATCAGTGTACCTGTAATTGTTCTTGTAAATACTTTATATTGACTGCACAGGACAAGTTATTGATCACCCTATAGGTGCCACTGAAGTAAATGTGGAGAGTCAGAATGAGTTACAGAGAAAGTTTTTTAAAGCTACAGAATGTTTTAGTGCATCAATTATTTTATCTCAAATGGAAAATGGAAGTAGATTCCTCATGATATAATCCCTGTAATGATCTGTATTCTGGCATGAAAATATACCCAGTAAATTTCTGTAGGTCTCCTCCACCCGCTGCCGCCCCTTCTGTCTCATGCAGCGTCATTAACAGCTCCACCACAATGTCAGCCAGGTTGTTGCAAATCAAACCGTCAATTTGCTGAACGACAAAAAGAAGTTGTAGAAGAATTCAGTGCAAAGAACACATTTATCTGTGTATATAAATAATTATTGAGCTGTGTAACATATTTTAAACTGCATCTACAAGCCAGTCTAAGTGTAGATCAGCATTGTACTAAAAAACAAGTTATCTGCATCCTAGGCCTGGGCGATAAAACGGTATCGATATTTATCGACGGTACACCTTCATCGATAATGATATAAAAAATGTTCGATATAGCGCACAATATAGGCACGTACTATGAGTGATGCAGACAGCACACACAAACACGAACACATGCTGAATTGAGTGCTGTGCCTGTGATGAGGAGATCGTGAATAAAAACATTAATATTGTAGTCAGGAAGATCTGAACATCGTTACTGTATCTTGACCTTTTTGATTAGCTGCTCATCAATGCTGTTCTCCTTGTAGGACTGAACGAGTGCAAACAGGGCTTGCTTCTCACACACAGGACTGCAGGACATCACCATCGAGACACTTTTCAGCAAGACTGCCCGTCGATTAAAGGTCTCGTCAGGTAAGTCTTCTGAAGGACAGTTTTTCTGTAGAACAACAAAATGGCAGAATGACAGTCAGAAGGGATATCAAACATAAAATACATAAAAATAACAAAACAAAAAAAATGTTTTAGTTTCAATTTTATTTCTGGGTGATTTCTCTACTGACTGTTTACTAGAATAATTACTTGGAAAAACGTATTTACTTGAGAAATTGATGAACAATTTAATGTACACAATTTATTTAATATGTACATTAATATGTAAAAATAAGGGAGTATGCATATTTGTTTTTCCTGTGGCATTGATTCAAAACATATATTGAGAATCCTGAAAACTCATTGGTATTGATATCAACCCTAGTTTGTTATTTGATTGGTTATATCATAAATAACTTTCACCTAGTTCTGAGAATATATTTTAATATCAAGACATTTGCTTCACCTTCTTTATGCCATCAAAAGTTGCCAAGGGTAATTAAAACAAACAAAATTAATAGCAAATCAATTGACACCATATTTAATTTTGATTACAATTTAGATTTTTGAAATGGGTGTGTCTAGTTATAAATGCGTTTATATTTAATTTGTTAAACTGGAGTGTTATTCATCTCCGAGTACTGACAGTATAAAACAAAAGGCTGATAATTATCCAAAATCATCTTTAATTATGATATATATAATAATCATAAAAACTCATTATTAGGGTTTACATGCCAATCAATATACTGCCAGTGCCGATGCAAGAAAACCACTGGATTTTTCTCAGCTCTTGACAACAAAATTCTCACACAAGTCAGATACAGGATGTGCGCACAATAATCTTACACAATGTTGACAAAGAATGCATATTGAAATCAGAGTAACAAAAAACTGGGTTAATAATGCTAGCATATTAAGCATACTGAGTGTAAAACGATGAAAATGAAAAGAAGATATTTTAAAGATTGTTGGTAACCAAATAGTTGCTGGTAGCCACTGACTTCCATAGTATTACATTGTTTTTTCATACTATGAATGTCAATGGCTACTAGCAACTGTTTGGTTACTTACATTCTTCAAAATATCTTCTCTTGTGCTCAACATAAAAATAAAAATAAATCATACAGGTTTGGAACTTTTACCTGCCCCCTCATTCCTTCCTGAGCCTTGAGGTAAATATTCTCAAAGGCCATCTGCTGGTTCTTTAGAGGAAGCATCCTCTTCCCACTGCCATCCGGTCCTTTTTTAAGGAACAAGCTAGAATTTAAAAGTTCATGTGAATAATGGAAGACCAGTTTCAAGTGAATTAGGTTAACTTAGCTTTTACAGAAAAGGGATGCTCAGCTAACCTCTCCACGGACAGTGCTGCCAACATACACACATGGTGATGGGCATCTGCTAAATGAGAGGAGAGAACCACAGACACCGGTAGCTCCGCCTCCCGCAGTGTTAGCTCCGCCCACTTACAGCATGGGTCCACCTTATAAAAAATGAATAATGGCATTAAAATAGTACTACTACAATAGCAAATTAATAATGTACACTACTATTTATTTTCTACTATTGTACTAAAATAAACATTACACTGTACTTACCTCCAGCAAAGCCAGTAAACATTGCCTTAGTGCCACTCTCACAGCTGAAGTACATTTGCCAGATTTACCTAAGATGCTGTACAGAGAAAGTGAATATAATTTAACCTAAAGAAGTTCTTAAAGAATCTCTTTTCGTCATGCCTCACAACGCCCATTTGCTTGTTATAAATTCACTGTAAACCACGGCTTCTTGGGGCTTATTGCTTTAATATACCACAGTACTACCATGGTCATAGCCTCTGTAGCTCACCAGAATCCTGATATGACTTTGAGCAGAGCTCCTTTTATATGTGACATCTCATCTTCCTGCTCGCTCACAGAAGGAGTGCGGCCCAGACAGCGGATGGACGGCAGAAGAGAGCACAGGATGGCAGCACACACCTCCTGGTCTTGCCGATATAGAGAACAAATATCTCTGTATGGAAAACCAAAAGACATCACAAAAAAAATTATTGGAACAGTTATTTACATTGTAGTGTCTGGACCAATCAAACACACAATTTTTCATTTGATTTAACAAATCAGTTATTCATTAGATTAACAAATCGTCACAGTCCCCTCATTCAATAAACTGGGTGCCAGGATGTCTGCAATGACACCAGGCCCCCCTGGTCCCACAGAATGTGAGTAGGGAAAATCACTACCTTTTTATAGGAAGAGACACAATGCACAGTAGAAATGTTCAGACAAACGAGACTTGCAAGTTTCAGACTTAGTCTTATTAATTGATACCTTAGGCATCATTTGTACCTTTTTATTCCTTAATCATGCAGATTTATGCTAAAAGCTCGGTGTAGAATTGTACAGTAAGAAAGTTATTTCCCTTAACCAGGAATTTAACGTTCTTAGAATTGACAGACAGTTGACCCTGAGAGGTCAAGTAAATATCTACAGCGGATCTAAATATTTATAATTAATTATAACTAGTTATGATTAATTATTCATATTTCCCCATGAGCTGATTCGCTACAACATTTTGACATCAAAGATGTAGATATGTCTGTCATTGGAACAGATTTGGAGAAATGTAGCATTTCACATCACTTGCTCACAAATGGATCCTCTGCAGTGAATGGGTGCCGTCAGAACGAGAGTCCAAACAGTTGGGAAAAAAAAACACTTCAATAATCCACACAACTATAATCCATCAATTTAATGTATTGTGAAATAAAAAGCTGTGTGTTTATAATAAACAAATCCATAATTAAGAGTTGTTTTACTTCAAAGCTGTGTGTTTATAATAAACAAATCCATAATTAAGAGTTGTTTTACTTCAAAGCTGTGTGTTTATAATAAACAAATCCATAATTAAGAGTTGTTTTACTTCAAAGCTGTGTGTTTATAATAAACAAATCCATAATTAAGAGTTGTTTTACTTCAAAGCTGTGTGTTTATAATAAACAAATCCATAATTAAGAGTTGTTTTACTTCAAAGCTGTGTGTTTATAATAAACAAATCCATAATTAAGAGTTGTTTTACTTCAAAGCTGTGTGTTTATAATAAACAAATCCATAATTAAGAGTTTTTTTTACTTCAAACCATTGCTTCTGGCTAAAATAGCCCTCTAAAATAAGTCCTCTATCAATAATATTGCTTTCGCAAGAGAAAAAGTTGTCTTGTCTGAATCAGAAGAGAAATATTCACAGATCAAGCACGATTTACAAGAAAAAACAGTCCAAAAAGTTCTAAACAAATGCGTTGGTGAATTTTGACGTGAGAGGACAACAGAATGGACTTTTTCCACTGGAGGAAGCGATATTATGGATTATAAACTATTATTTTGGCCAGAAGTCGTGAGAAAAAACATTATTGATCGATGTTTCTTACAAACTTTTCACTTCACAAAATGTTAATTGATGGTTTGGAGTGGTGTAGATTACTTGTGGATTATTGTGACGTTTTTATCAGCTGTTTGAACTCTCATTCTGATGGCACCCATTCACTGCTAATGATAAACTTTTTACTGCACTACATATACATACATGTATATATTATGTTCAGTGTCATATATATATATGATACTGAACATAAGAACATAAGGGAAATTGAGGTATTCTTACGCCAGAGGCCTTAGAAGAGTATCAAATTCTTCAGGATCCAGAGATGTGATTTCTGCTGGGAGTTTCTTCAGCAATGAAAGATACTACACAAGCAAAGGATGATAAAGACTTTAGATGCATTAGATACACCAAAGATGTGCTAATATAAGATGTGGACCATATATCAGGACAACAGTCAAGAGTCTGATTTATGTTCATGACTGTAGCCAATGTTTTAATTATTTGAGAATCAGTGCATTAAACAGCATAATCACCATGTGGAGGTGAAGCATCTGAGAGAAGTCTATGAGGTCCCGTCAGAACGAGAGTCCAAACAGTTGGGAAAAAAAAACACTTCAATAATCCACACAACTATAATCCATCAATTTAATGTATTGTGAAATAAAAAGCTGTGTGTTTATAATAAACAAATCCATAATTAAGAGTTGTTTTACTTCAAAGCTGTGTGTTTATAATAAACAAATCCATAATTAAGAGTTTTTTTTACTTCAAACCATTGCTTCTGGCTAAAATAGCCCTCTAAAATAAGTCCTCTATCAATAATATTGCTTTCGCAAGAGAAAAAGTTGTCTTGTCTGAATCAGAAGAGAAATATTCACAGATCAAGCACGATTTACAAGAAAAAACAGTCCAAAAAGTTCTAAACAAATGCGTTGGTGAATTTTGACGTGAGAGGACAACAGAATGGACTTTTTCCACTGGAGGAAGCGATATTATGGATTATAAACTATTATTTTGGCCAGAAGTCGTGAGAAAAAACATTATTGATCGATGTTTCTTACAAACTTTTCACTTCACAAAATGTTAATTGATGGTTTGGAGTGGTGTAGATTACTTGTGGATTATTGTGACGTTTTTATCAGCTGTTTGAACTCTCATTCTGATGGCACCCATTCACTGCTAATGATAAACTTTTTACTGCACTACATATACATACATGTATATATTATGTTCAGTGTCATATATATATATGATACTGAACATAAGAACATAAGGGAAATTGAGGTATTCTTACGCCAGAGGCCTTAGAAGAGTATCAAATTCTTCAGGATCCAGAGATGTGATTTCTGCTGGGAGTTTCTTCAGCAATGAAAGATACTACACAAGCAAAGGATGATAAAGACTTTAGATGCATTAGATACACCAAAGATGTGCTAATATAAGATGTGGACCATATATCAGGACAACAGTCAAGAGTCTGATTTATGTTCATGACTGTAGCCAATGTTTTAATTATTTGAGAATCAGTGCATTAAACAGCATAATCACCATGTGGAGGTGAAGCATCTGAGAGAAGTCTATGAGGTCCAACAGTTTGAGCAATTTGCGTTGGGTGTCCAGAGGTTTGAAGGAGAATCCACCATTGAGTTCTGAAGATGCACATAGTGACAGGAAACCAAGCACAGACAGGAAGGCCAAGTCTTGTCTGGATAAATGTTCCTCAGATAATGCACTCTTGGTCCCTATACAATCAAAAATGAAGAAAAAACTCAATTATGTGATCTCAACTGCTGAAGAACATTAAATCACACCACATGAATCCCCGCTTATATCTTTGAGTTTTCCAATCTCTCTGAGCACCTGTTGTGTACTTTGAATCAGCAGCTTCTTCATTAGACTGGTGAGGTCTGAAAGTGCTGTGGTGTGCCCCATCTCCATCTTCAAACAGATCAATCTCCTCCCGACCGTCCATTTGGGTTCTGCTCATATCCATATCTTCATCCATGGGGTCATTCTCCATGACTGTGTTGTCCTTTTTACTCGAGTTGCTTAACTGCAAACGTAAAAGGCGTGCTTTAGATGAGTGTCAATCAGCAAGATAAATAACAGTTTGGTTGTAAAATCTCAGTATCATTTCTAACTGAAAGAAACTATGCTTAAATGCATTTGTATGTTTAGTGTAAGGTGTTCAAGTGTATAATTTCGGCGGCACTAGAGGGACTAAATCATAAAAATAATGTTTTCAAATACACTCAGGAAACATTGAGGAGAAATTGGACAGAGATGAGGTGCAAGTAAGTCTCACCAGTTGTTTAGATATGTCACACATGTCATTTAGCAACCTCACAGGCAAAGTCTTCATGAATAAATTGCGAGAAGTGGTGGAAATTCCGTCCTCCTAAAAAAAAAAAAACAATTAAGCGGAATTATCCTGGAGTAACTAGACAAGGTGCTTTAAAAATAAGCCATTCTGACCAATCTATCAACCTGTCTGCAAACACATTAAAAAGAACTGACTTTAAAGTCAGAAATCACAAGTTTTATTCCACACATATCAGCAGAAGGAAGAAAGTCAAACAATTTTGGAACAACATGAAGGTTTGACAGCCTTTTCATTTCTAGGTGGACTATCCCTTTAAGAAACATTGACGTTTTAAAGCATAAAACTGAAAAATATGTATTTGGATAAAATAATGCAGAGTGGTATTATCATAGTATTTATAGCATTGAAAATTATAAATGAGAAAATCTGTCTATGCTAATTAGTTAGCATAGATAGATATCAACTATTGTTAGAAATGATAGTCATATCTTGTATATGGTTATTGCCCTTACCTTTTCTCTTCTGCTAATACTATCAGAGCACAACAGCATCACTGACTGAATTGCTTTGATGGTATCATTCTCACTTAGTTTGCTCTTGGCCATCGATATGTAGTGACTAAATTCATGAACCAATGCCTACAAAAGAAGGAAAAATCAATTACCAGGGTCCAGAGTAATTCAGATAATTAGGAAAATCTGGAATCTGAGGGTGCAAAAAAGATCAAAATATTGAGAAAATCGTCTTTAAAGTTGTCCAAATGGAGTTCTTAGCGATGCATATTACTACAAAAATTAAGTTTTAATATATTTACAGTAGGAGATGTACAAAATATCTTCATGGAACATGATCTTTACTTAATATCCTAATGATTTTTGGCATAAAATAAAAATCAATAGTCTTGACCCATACAATGTATTGTTGGCTATTGCTACAAATATACCCCAGCAACTTAAGACTGGTTTTGTGCTCCAGGGTCACATATTTTTATTGAATCTCCAAATCAATATGCATACAACATGAAGACAGGATTTCAAATGACTTTAAATGCTTTTTTAAAGGCATTTTTTTTAGTATTACAATGAATTAAGGCCCGTATCAATGATACAATGATTTGTTTATAAAACTGATTTTTTTGCGCATTTCTGGAGATAAAATCAGTAATTATAGAAATTCAGCATTTACAGTATAAATGAAAGCCAGGTCTGATTTGTAATTCAAAACTACTATAACATCTTTTAATGTAAGTGAACTTGGTAACACTTTACAATAAGGTTCATTAGTTAAACATTAGTTAATATATTAACTAACATGAACTAACCATGAGCATTACATTTGTTACTGTATTTACTAATCTACGCTAATGTTAGTTAATAAAAATACAGATGTTCATTGTTAGTTAATGTTAGTTCACAGTGCATTAACTAATGTTAACAAGATTTTAATAATGTGTTAGTATTGATTTTATACAACAGTTCAATAAACAATAAGTTAATATCAAGAGACTTACGTTTTAGACACCATATTGGCTGTTTTTGCGTTATTTCGCCAACAGAAAACATTCCAAACACAGCGCTGTTTTGCGTCTCTGAGCAAAACCATCCGTTTAAATGATTCGGTTCATTCGCAATGACTCACTTAACAGTGACTTGCTGCCACTTACTGGCGGATTTAATTTCACATTTAAAGTATCTTTTAATTTTTTAAATAAATTTAAATATCACTATTCAACATTTCATGTTTAAAATATCAAAACATTATTTATGCATTTGTAACTGCAGGTTAAAGCATCCCGTGTCCTTCTAAGCTGCATTAACATGTGTAAATACATCTAAATGCCACTTCATATTCAACCTCTGCAAAGATGAATTTTATTGATACTGATTTCATTTGTTTAGTAACAGCCTAAATGTAGTATTGTTATAATTGCCTGATTAAATAAGAATTTGACTCAAAAGATGAAGCACACGTTTAGTAAAAATGGATTTATTAAGGTAAAAATGCCCATAAAAGGTAAATATCTATCTAAACTTATTGGAAAAGATAAATTTCTATCAATGCTGTGAACTGACCACACAGAATATGAAGAATATTAAAAACTTTAGGAGTCAGCTGTCCACGGTATCCTTAAGATATCAGCACAATAACACACTCAGCAAAATATTGTCTAATTATCTTTATCAATAAAATCCCAGAAAATATTGAGATATTATTTTTTGTCAATATCGCACACCCTTAGTACCGACACAAAATGATTTGCAACAGTCGCTTTGTCATGTAGACAGCCTCAAGCTGTTGGTTTATTTTGTAGTTTTTTTTGGCTGGTACATATGTAGTTTTTTTTGTGTGTTTGGCTTAGTGTTATGTTAGAATCATTATTATACTCTTATAGCTTTTGTTCTTTAATATTTTTAACTGTTTTTATCTTTATTTTTTTTCATTTAAATGTTAAGTTTTGAAATGTTGTTGTATGCATTTGTTATTTTTATTTAATTTCTGTATTTTTAAAATGTGTATAAGTAGTATATATAAAGTTTTAGCTTTTCGTTTTGGATCTGTTTTTAGTTGTTTTAATACTACAATTGATTGCTTCTGTTGTCCTCATTTGTAAGTGGCTTTGGATAAAAGCGTCTAATAAATGACTAAATAAATAAATAAATAAATTCATTTGGACATACTGTGGGTTAGTTCAAGTTTTAAAATGTCAAGTGATGCAACTCCCCAACAGGGTTATTTGTAACTAAAACTAAAACAGCAACCATAAAATAAATAATCAAACAAATAAAAAAAAATAAAAAAACACACCCACACATTTTTTAACAAAAGATTAATAATAAAAATGGCAAACATTCATGACAGTGCTTCAGATGTATTGCCTGGAAATCAAATCAGACATGGCTAGTGCCACACAGTTGACATTATTATTATAAATATTTTTATTTATTTTTTGTTGTTGAAGTAACATGAATCATACACAAAATTCACCAATAAACATTTAGCAGTAACCAACAAAAAATAAAATAAAATAAAAAAATAAAACATACAATAAAATATAAACTGATCTGCATATTATTCACGGTATACAACACTACTAACTACTTTTGTTACAGCTGGTCTCTGAGTGCACCACACTCACCTCTCTGGCTTCAGGCTGCCCATCAGAAACATCAGTCCTGCTCTGCTGTCTTTCAGTGTCAAAGAGACCAGAATTCTAGGAATGAGGTTCAGTGGAAAATCCCTGCAAAGACCAAAACAAAACAAAGAAATGTTGGCATACTTACATTAGTGGCAACTTCAGCTAAAATTCAAAGGAGAAATGTGAAACTGAATAAAATGACTAACCACTAAACCTAATTATTTTGCAATTTTGAAGAAAACCCAAGCGGTTCTTGTCCATAAAAAACTTCCCACTATGCTATGCTAATTACTAGTAATATAGTGACGCTGGACCTGGTGATAATGAGGTGAGGTCTGCTGTTCTCCTCCGTCTCCTCATTTTGTTCGTTCATGACCAGCCAGCTGATGATTGAGTCGGTCAGAGTGGGCGGCTCTCCACCCGTCTCCATCAGCCCTCCACTGGTGACGTCTTGATTGTGAACACTTTTAGGGATGGAGCACTTCAACAAGGCCTGGGCCAAGCAGAGGGCACCAACGCTAGGAGAAACAATAAAAAGTGAGCACTACTGAGAGTTTATAGACATTAAAGAAATATTACTAGTTAAAGCTGCAGTCCGTAACTTTTTTGTGTTCAAAATTTATATAATAAGCGAGTACACCATGAATCCATTTTCCAAACCGTGTTTTTGGCTTGTCCTGAATCACTACGGTACACCTATAATAAGTGTTTATATTCGAACTATTTTAGACTGGTTCGGGTAGGTACCGCTGCGGAGTAGCCCAGTACTTGCTTGATTCGGCATAGACATAAACAGAGAGAAGTAGCTCCGGCTACAATGTTCTTCCGCAAGACGCACGCAGTTCTGTTTATTAACCGCTAGAGCACTAAAAGTTACGGACTGCAGCTTTAAATACAAATAAAATTTAAGAATTGTAATTATTTTGACTCAGTTTGGAAAAACGAACTACAACCGGTTGATAGTATTTAGAAAGGAATGCATCTACAATGGAAGTCTATGGGGAAAGAATAGCAGATGGTTTAAAAGGAAGGGATCCTGCTTTTGACATTTCTGCTGATTTCTAGCTGGCAAACATAAAAAATTAGGTTTCATCAAAACCGTTCAAATAATTTGTGATTATTTTGGAATCTTCAGTGAAAACATGTATATTATAAATAAGTAAATGGAACAGAATTTTAAAAAATTTATTTTCTATTATTATTGATTTATTGCAAAGAAAACTCAATGCAATTATGCATATATATATATATATATATATATATATATATATATATCATTCAGTAAATTACTATAAATGTTTTCAATTTATAAAGATGAGTGCTAATTATTTTCCGCATGAGAGATTCAGTTGGATTTTAATTCCAATATTTTTATACTCAAACTAAGCTTGTAAAGATGCACTGTGAAACTCACAGAGAGGGCTTACAAACAGCACCAGAGAAGACTTTCCAGAACTCTCTATCAACAGGCACCAGAGATTCTTGCACCATGATACGCAACAGCTCCAGACACAAGCTCCCGGTCTGGACTGAGCCGACTCCCCGCAGAGCCAGAGCCCAAACTCTGCCCCACAGACGGCCCGCCTCAGCTGCGTGAGCAGAGCAGTTGGCTGAGCTCTTGGCATGGCAGAGCGCCACCTCCCTCAGACAGCGCAGGACGTACGGCCCCCTCTCGCCCCGACGCTGCTGTTCACCCTGAAGCTGGCAGAGCAGCCCCAGCAGAGGCACGAGATCATCAGCACACCGGATAGACGGGTATCTGGATATCAGAGCAGCTGTGACCTGTAACCTGTCAAATTACATAAAGAGTTACAGCACTACATATTACTTCAATATTAGGCACTTTGCACTAAAGGTGCATTTCATGTCATCCGGCAGACAAATAAGCAAGAATATTTCAGTGCAGAAAACACAGAGAAAGAGTACCCATTGTTAATACTAGTGACACTGTAACAATACAAAGCTCTGCAAAGTGAATATTAACTAATAACGACTTCAAATAAACAGTTAATGTCAAAAACAACTGGATGCATTCAAAACCTGAGGCAGGGCAGGACAGGCCATCATCTGTATTTTAGGATTGTGGAGACTAGTGCCAGTAACAAATTGTAATACTGCCAATTAGGGATGTAACGGTTCACTCAACTCACGATTCGATTTGAGATTTTGATTTCACAATTTTTTTTTTTTTTTTTTTTTACCAAATTAGAAATTAAATGTGTCCTTTTATTATTGCATTTGATTTGTACAGACTACACTTTGCACTAAAGGTGCATTTCATGTCATTCGGCAGACAAATAAGCAAGAATATTTCAGTGCAGAAAACACAGAGAAAGAGTACCCATTGTTAATACTAGTGACACTGTAACAATACAAAGCTCTGCAAAGTGAATATTAACTAATAATGACTTCAAATAAACAGTTAATGTCAAAAACAACTGGATGCAGTCAAAACCTGAGGCAGGGCAGGACAGGCCATCATCTGTATTTTAGGATTGTGGAGACTAGTGCCAGTAACAAATTGTAATACTGCCAATTAGGGATGTAACGATTCACTCAACTCACGATTCGATTTGAGATTTTGATTTCACAATTTATTATTATTATTTTTTTTACCAAATTAGAAATTAAATGTGTCCTTTTATTATTGCTTGGACAAAAATGCTGCACATTTCTTTGTGAAATTAAAATATAAAAATTGCATATTATTGCTCTTTTGTTGGATTTGACTGCTTCTATTGTCCTCATTTGTAAGTCGCTTTGGATAAAAGCATCTGCTAAATGACTAAATTTAAATATAATGCGCCCTTGAAGGGCACTTCGGGAAGGGGACGCCGTTTGTAGGGACGTTCCAAATGAAAGTGAGCAACTGAATCCCTTCGCGAAGGGCCCTTCCAGAAGTCCGTTAGCGAAGGAAACATGTGATGGTCACTTCACGGAAGTCCGTTTGTGATCACGTGATCTTCAGTTAGGAAATCTTGCGGCGCATCTTAAAGCAAAGTTGTGGTTGATTTAGACACAAACGTATATAGAATAGGCTAATTAAATTTGTCTTTATTTTAATAATAATATTTTGTAATAATATCTCATGTAATACACAATCATTTTCATCAGAAATATTATTTAAGATGGTAGTGTAAGCAAGTTTAGTTTGAAAAAGCTTAATAGTAAATAAGACACAATTAGACAATATTTGAATAAAATAATAATAATGAGAAGAACTATATTTGCAACAACTGATGGGAGTGCTGAACGCTGCACGCATGCGCAGTGTTGTCAAGGTAACGTTTGGTCAGTCATTCCCTTCGCCAAGGGAGTTCCAAACGCTTATACGAGACAGTAATGCCCTGCACCCTTCAAAGAACACACTTCAAGGGCTCTGCCCTTCGAAGGGAGTAGGGCATAGGGATGCTCACTTCGGTTTGGAATTCGCCCCATGTAAATGTAATAACAAAACTAAATAGAAATTTTAAAACAAGCCCCAAATCAAATAAATAAGTAACACAAATCAAATAAATCTCTTCATATAAACAAACCAAGGCTTTGTCTGTGCTCTTAACATTTAAAATTAGAGGCAACCACTGCATTTTAATCATGATCCAAACAAAGATGCTGCATACATGCAACATGAGCCGTTTTAATCTAAATTGAATTGTATAATTTGTGAAACTATACATAAAAATATCTGCAGGAAACAGAAACAGCAGACGAACTGAACGAGACGCAGATGCACTCTCTGCCAGCAGGTGGCGCTTAAAGCGTTTCCTGGTTTCCGCTGTAAACAAAGCAGCGCTGCACTTATGAACTTTAATATGCATTATACAGAGGCAAAATGAGAAGAAAAAATACCATCTAAACTTTTCTAAAGACCGTAAGTTCCCCTCAGACATGCATTCATATAAACTCCTACCCCTAAATGAATCGTGATTTGTTTAGCATCTCAACCGATTTGAATCGTCACATATTTGAATCGATTTTCAACCGGCTCGCGGTTAATCGTTACATCCCTACTGCCAATATGACCTCCCTTTAATCAATGCTTAAAGGATTTATGGATTTTTACTTGAGAACTATTTGTGCTTTAATGTTTAAATAAAACCCTACCAGGGAATCATGTCAAAGTCGCTGTGGTGGGGCTGCAGTTTGGAACGTATCACCTCCCAATTTATCAGTGATGGCTCAATTCGTCTGCGTTTGCAGCACTGCGGACTGTCCCGCTGAGTATCCCGACAGAAAGAAGTAGTCGCTTCCGAAACAGGAGTGCTTTGATTGAACAACTAGAGAAACAGAGCATATTCATGAATACTGTAAGCATAGTGAAATAGCAAAGGACTACATTAATGCAACAGACAATGGGCTTTCTCATTAAATAAAAGCATTGTTATGCACCATGGTACAGTGATGATGGTAAAACTATGGACCCTTAACATATACAAATACCATGGTATTATTATTGCACTCCATAAAACCGAATTCCTATTAATTACAAGCAAAACAGGTTAATGAGCAGCAACAGATTATTGAGCAAAACATCCATTAATCACCTGGTGGCAGACATCAGCTGTCAGTTCAATGAGACTTTCTTTCACAGCTATGTGACGAGAGCCGGTGGCATACTTCCCTCTGCTGCCGATCTGACTGATCTCACTGACAAGAGCATCATAGAGGGTGCAGAGCTGACCCTGCCATCTGACCCAGTCTTCTGCATAAGCACCTGTGCCAGCAAAGGGTTTTGGTAAGTATGTGTGTTTTGTTGAATATCATATTTGATACATTAGGCTTTTATGGCTCACGTTGTATGATATACTGTAGGAGAAAATGGAGCTCACACTCAATGAAGAAAAATAAACACTTCAATACTCAGAAATATGCAGTTGACCCTTCGCCGGGAGTTTGATTAACAGGCAATCTGACCAATCATAATGCATAATCTGCCATTTTGTCCGCCATACAAACCAGACAGAAGAGTGCATTAACGTTGGTGGCCTTGAACTTGAAAAATGGTGTGTATTGACATCTTTCAGCGCTTGAAACAAGATACCTTCTGATGTTCATTCATGTTCATTTCATGCTATAGCTGACTGAAGAGTTTATTTGCAAAAACATAACTTTTTTTTATTTTCAAAAATCATGTTTTTTATTATGTTATCATGTTTTTATTGTGTTTTATTGTGTTAATTAGCTAGTTTTTTTTACCTAATCAAAATAACCCAACTGCAGTTTGATTGAGATTAATTGGAATGCACAATTAAAAAACTTGAGACTATTTACATCAAATGCACATAAATATCAGCTGTAACTCGATATCTCCCAATAATATGCTTTAGTAAAATGGTATTTATATGCGTTTCTATAAGTTTTATGATCATACCTATGATCATTTTATTTTAATTAAAGACTAATTGATTCCGGTCCATTCAATTATTGAAAACGCACACCCGAGGAGTTGATATGGCATTACAACAACATGGACGGAAACATGGATGACAAATCTCTTGATTGTGTGATATTCCTTAAAGGGGTCATGTGATGCAATTTCAATTTTTCCTTTCTCTTTGGAGTGTTACAAGCTCTTGGTGCATAAAGAAGATCTGTAAAGTTGCAAAGACTAAAGTCTCAAATCCAAAGAGATATTCTTTATAAAAGTTAAGAGTCAGCCACACCTACCTAAAACGCCTCGTTTAAACACGCCCCCACATACCTACGTCACTATCTGGGAAGATTTGCATAATGCCGCCCAAATGTTCACGCAAAGAAAGAAGGCGTAACTTTTATTCTCGCTGTAGTAATGTTGTGAAGGCACTGTGTGCTTCATTGTGAAAGCGAAACTACTTTGTTTGGTCTTCCAAAAGAGGACGATATCTCTTCGTCATGCCTACAGCTGATCTGTGCTGGTCGCTGAGGAAATACATCAACTTCGCGCTGTGGATCGCCGGATCGGCTTTCACCGTGGACGAAGCAGAGTCCAGACCGGGGTCATCACATGTGGTTGCTGCAGAACCACTTGTGGGAAATTTATGAAATATGGCAAACTGATAGAAGACAGTCTGAACATTACTCACACCAACTGTCCAAATTTGCTCAAATTTTTTATGGTAAAACCTTTAGAACTGTAAGAACAAAAAAAAATCTTTTTTTCTCAATATCATTGCTCTGAGAAGTACATTTTACTAAATAATAGCAATATCTTTCTTCAAAATATAGTTGAATATTTCTTTAAAATAGATTCCTCAAATTTCATTCATACCAGAAGTTTACATAGCCACTAATATTTTACTCCATGTTTTCAGTGATTCCATCTGTTTTTTCAACAAATCATAAGGCATCAAAAATCATAACGTCCTACAATTTATATTCAAGAGCAAAAATATTAAAATGTTGTAATTTTTAATGATTGTTGTATTTCTTACCTGTCTCAAGAGTCTTTGCCCCTCTGGGGTGATGAACACAAAGCTGGAGGTGGAAAAACTTCACTAGCTCCTCTTTCAGTACCAAGCTGGGTCTCATCTCAGTATAAACACGCAGCATAGACGACAGAACCTCCTCACCCAGACCACACACCCTCTTTCTGTTGGACAGAAGCACTGAGTGCAGAAAAACGTTCACAGCAGATACCAGGTTCTCCAGAATCATTAGCTGTCCATCCGGCCTGGGGAAGAACATCAAAACACAAGTAGGGCTGTCAATGTTAACTTGTGCGAGCGATTCTCAACCTTAACCTTATTCAAATAAATTACTGAAGCATGTGAAATTGCATCATTAACCCTTGTGCGACCTTTTGGACATTTTTGTCCTTTTCAGTTTAGTTTTTTTTATCATTTAGCCTGTGTAATTGCCAACTGCATACATTTTGGTACAGGTGTGTATTTTTATTGGAATTTTACTATTTCACTTCCATTTCCTTTCCATTGCACTAGGTACAAAAAATTGTTCCTCTCAGGACCTTAAGGACAAAAATGTCCCCATTGAAATCCATTAAAACTGCTATTTGTAATCGCAGTGCCATTTAACTGTAAAATTATGGATTTTTTGTTGATAGGCTTTCATTCTATTGGCAAGGCTTTAAAATTAATAGATTTATGGCTTTGATTTTCTAGCAGGTATAGAGTTCAACATGTTTCATAAAATATATATTTTATATAAAACATCGCTCATAAATAATTTTCATAAACCTAAACATCTAGAACTTTTTTTTTGGTTTCATTTTCTTAAACCACTATGGACCTATGTGTAACTTTTTTTAATTGACGCACAAGGGTTAATAGAATTAACATTACGCAGTTAGATAATCTTGGAAGTCAGGAGTTTACCACACTGAGCATCTACAATACCTGTATTGTATCTATAATAACACTGGTAGATGGACATTTCTATCGAACCCTTTACAGATTTTTTTAAATTGCTTCAAAACTCACAACAGATCATCAAAAGTGCACTTTTTCAAACATTTCAGCATATTTTCAATTGTGTGAATACAACACATTACACACAATCACAAAATATCCTTTTCACTACACAAAATAAGTGTTTCATCTATATAATGTATCATTCACAGTAACAGCCTTTCATAAAGCTATTACTATCAAACTTTTCATTAGCATGACTTCTCATTCAGTTTAATACATTTGTCTATTATTTAATCTAACTCATCTTAATGGTTAATCAGTGGATCATTTGGTGCATCTACAGATATAGATTCAATAGATATTTAGTTTCTATAGAACGTGATTGCAATTTAGGGATAACCAAATGCACTGAATTATATAATTAAGTAAGTGTATTTACTTGTGTCATTAGTGTTTAGTGCAGTTGTCGTTGCTAGGAAACGCTTGTTTTGTTTACTGTGTGGAGACGTGCTGATATCGCGCTTGGTCTCATTCTGTATCACATATCTTGTCAGTGTCTGCGCTTGCTTGGCCATTTGTTGTGGAAAAAATAAGGAAAGTGTGTCCAGCTGAATTAATTTAGTATTTTGTTAGACGGGTATAAAAAAAGCTTAGTTTACCACGACAGCCGTCGTGTGAAGGCCTCCTCGTGTGAAGACCGAAGAGTGTAAAGAGCATCAACTCTACCGTGTGACCCAACCGGGCAGGACACCGGCAAAGGATAGATAAGTATCGCTTTTTATTTATCCTCTTTCCTATTACTTGTTTAACTTCTGTTTCAGTTTTAAACCATTAACCATTTCTTACTATGTGTAAGTAAGTTATTGTTTTTTTAGCATGTACTGTAAGTTTGGCAGTGTTATTTTTTAGGATTACTGATAAACTACTGTCATTTGATTTGTATTTGTTATTTATTTTAATTTTAGTTCAATTATGTCTGAATTTATTATGTTTGTATAGGTCTTTTATTACGTTTTAGTTTTATTTAATTTTAGTTATTTTAATACTTCAACAAACTAAATGGAAATGAAATAATATATATATATTGAATTTACAAATGTGCATGTATATATATGTACGTGTATATAGTTGGTTTTTTGGTGTTTGGCTTTGTGTTATGTTAGAATTATTATTATACTCTTATACCTTTTGTTCTTTAATATTTTGAATTGTTTTTAGCTTTTCATTTCAATGTTAAGTTTTGAAATTTTGTTGTATGCATTTGTCATTTTTATTTAATTTCTTTATTTTTAAAATGTGTATAAGTAGCATTTATAAAGTTTTAGCTTTTAGTTTTGGATCTGTTTTTAGTTGTTTTAATACTACAATTGATTGCTTCTGTTGTCCTCATTTGTAAGTCGCTTTGGATAACTGCTAAATGACTAAATAAAAATATATTTTATATTTTAAAATACACAGCCATATCACCCTGCAGCCCAAGACTGGTTGCTCACTGAAGCTAAGCAGGGCTGAGCCTGGTCAGTACCTGGATGGGAGACCTTCTGGGAAAACAAGGTTGTTGCTGGAAGAGGTGTTAGTGAGGCCAGCAGGGTCACCCTGTGGTCTGTGTGGGTCCTAATGCCCCAGTATAGTGATGGGGACATTGTCAAAAAGCACTGTCCTTCGGATGAGACGTTTAACCGAGGTCCTGACTCTCTGTGGTCATTAAAAATCCCATGGCACTTCTCGTAAAGAGTAGGGGTGCAACCCCGTTGTCCTGGCCAAATTGCCCCCTGGCCTTTGTCAATCATGGTCTCCTAATAATCCCCAACCACTTGATTGGCTCTATGACTCTCTCTCCTCTCCACCTGTAGCTGGTGTGTGGTGAGCGCACTGGCGCCGTTGTCCTGTGACTGCTGTCACATCATCCAAGTAGATGCTGCACACTGGTGGTGGTTCAGGAGAGACCCCCCCACATGATTGTAAAGCGCTTTGGGTGTACAAGAATACACAATAAAGCGCTATATCAATGCATCATTCATTAATTCATATAAGATGATAACTACTATTTTGTAAGGGTGTGTGTGTGGTTCAGGTAAACCCTATTTTATGGGGACAAAATGTCCCCACAAAGATGGCAATATCTGAAATCATTGTCCTTTTTTGGGTCCAATGAGAAAAAAATTAATTTTCGTAAGGGTAGGTTTAGGAGTAGGGTTGGTGTAGGGGGAGACAGTATAAAACCTATTACTCCTATGGAATGTCACCATAATGATAGGAAAACCTGTGTCTGTCTGTGTGTGTGTGTGTGTGTACCTACTTACTGTAACCATATTTTGGGGACAAATTGGTACCCAGAAGTGAGCAAAACTTGACAAAATCACTTAAAACCTTCCTTTGAGGACGTCAGCAATGATAACAAAATTAATGTGTTAAAGAGGATAAATGGTGAATGTTTAATTTCATGATAAGTGTGCAATTAATCGCGATTAATCACACAAAAAATGTTGTGTATTGACAGCCCTAAACATAAGTTAAACATACGATTCGTCATAAGATAAAAAAAAAAACATATGTGGCATGTATTAAATGATACCTTTTCAGAGCCTTCAGGAAGAAGTTAAAGAGAGTGTGGGATAATCCCTCTGTTTGGACACAACAGCCCCAAACGACCGTGTAGACGATGCGACTCACTTGGACTCTATTGGTCCCTGACTTGGATCCCTTATTGAACAACCCACAGTACAAATCCAAAAGACCTGCGCAACAAACAAAACAACAACAGAAAGAGAAAGAGAAAATGATTAAAATAAACACTGACGGTAAAACAAAGTGATCTTGTGTCAACATAAACTGGGTTATTTTAGGAAAATAATTTGCTGATTGCATATTATCATGCTTATTACATGACCACTTACCAAATACCCTAAATAAATACATTGACATTAAATAAATGAGTTGAATTTATATTGTCTTGTTAACTTAGCAAGCACCCTAGCAATAAGACAAGCATTGGAACAGTCTTAACTGATTATATTTATAGTATTTTTTTTGTCCCTTCTCATACTTAACTTGCAGTATGAGAAAAAGAAGTGATACAACAGGCATGAAAGTAGCACTGATATGTTGCTGTGGATTGACGAATCAATATAGAGTCTAATGGCCATTATACAAAAACTTTTTACTGTTTTTGCACAAGATACTTTCAATCCAACACGTTTTTTTCACGATTTTTTTTTTATTTTGAATATTCGTCGAATTAAAAAAAAAAAAATCCACATTCGAATGCAAAAACGTTGCATTCAAATTTAAGGTCTGCGTCGGCCGTCAGGCAGCCTTATCAGTGGCGCACGAGATGCGATGACGATGTATGTGTCATTGATTGCATTTGAATGCTTTTGTTAGCCTATCCAGTTGAACCCACTAGATGTGGCGCTGCTACGTTGTTCATTCATATATTGCGGAAAACGAGAGCATCGGTGCGGAGAAGATGTTGTTTACGTCAAAACTGAAACCAAGCCGTTCACACAGAATGCATATTTATCACATTTTCTAGAGGGACATCTATCACCGTTGCACTCGCGTCTCACAGAGAGCGGCATGTTTAGAAAGCCATGTCAAATTAATGCAAGTTAAAAAACATTATGGCGGTTTTTCCCCATCCCACTCTATCTCTACGCCTACTCTTTGTGATTGGTTTTTGGTCCTTTGTATTAAACTATACATACATGCATGGTGCTGTTTTTTTTCTAATTGTTTAAGCAACGTTATTAATTATATATGGTTTATAAACATTATTTTAAACATTATGCACTTTTTTTTCAAAGATAGTCTTGTTATTTTATTACGCTTTGAAGAAACGTGCATAATATTTTGCTCGATGCGCCCTCTTGTGGCCTCAGGAGAGAAGCCAAAAGCTTTTTTCCCCTAACTGAAATTATGCCTTTTAAATTCGAATATAATTCGAATTTTGATCATATTTAAGTAGAAAATTCGAATTTCGTTTTTCAGTCATTTTGACAGCCCTAAATTCTAAACCTGTATGCATTTCCTTCTGCAGAACAAAAAAATAAGATATTTTTGAAGGATGTTGCATTCTGAACAATGTTGGCCCCATTGACTCCTGTGATCCACAGAAGATTAATCAAATGCATGCAGGTTTGGAATATAGAGCATATTAATTCCTGCATGAAAAATTAAGAATGAAAGAATGCAAAAGGAAGAATTATACACACAAATCAACATGTTACACTGGTCATGCACTCACTGTGCCACTGCTGCTGGCTCATCTCACACCAGTATTTACGGACAGACAGGATGTTCTTTAGCAGAATACTGCTGTAGTCCTCGCCATACGCCGCACAGCTGAACGGACTCTGTAAGACCTCCACCACATGAGAAATCAGCTCTGCACACTTTAACTTTGGACCGCCTACAGAACAGAGGTGTGATTTTCTTTAATGGATTTCATGGACATTTATCTAATGCACAGTAATAAACATCCACGTAGATATCTACTATGAACACAGAGAGAATATTTTATTCTCTTGTACTGTCATGAACAGCAACTCTAGTATTAGTGGCTCAGATAATTACGCTGGTTGGCGCATCTGATGAAATACTTCATCAGGCTGCTAATTTCCTGCATCTTTTTCTGTCGGTTTGCATGCGTGGTGGCGGAAACGTTGGCTTTTCCTGACTGCAGAAGTTCTGTCTCTTTTTGAAGAAACTTCTGTAAAAACCTGTACAGAAGAATCAGTATAGAATGAGCACACTGTCAACTTGCACCATAGAATAACAATGGATTGAACTGAAAAAACAGACCGGAAAACAGCATCCCAGGTGAGCTGCTTGGAGCCTTTGCATCCTGACGTACGATCAAGTTCCTCCACCGTGTCTGGTGAACGGATGAGTCTCCTGAAGCGATCCACCTCTTTCTGGAAAAAACAAATGGTCTGTTTATTTGTGTCTTGATTATCTTCAATCATTTTTATTTCATAGATAGTTCACTGCTCAGTGGTATCTGAATCAATGACGTGATGCTTATTTATATGGGTCCAGATTTAATCTTTTTTTTTTAGTTTTTTTTTTTAAGCTGCAGTTACACCCCTTAATTCATTTTGACTAAGTACGCCTATCATTCACTAATAAGCAGAATTCATTTTTGATTTGATATATGGAGGCCAGGGGCTAGAGTGAGCAGAGGCGGCGGGGTCGAGAACAGCGCGGCCGGCGGATTTCGACGAAGGAGCGGCAATCCGACCCCAAACGACCCCGGGCTGGACTCCGCTTCGTCCACGGTGAAAGCCGATCCGGCGATCCACAGTGCAAAGTTGTAGTATTTCCTCAGCGACCAGCACAGATCAGCTCCAGGCATGACGAAGCAGATATCGTCCTCTTTTGGAAGACCAAACAAAGTAGTTTCGCTTTCACAACGAAACACACAGCGCCTTCACGACATGGCGGCGGCAACAACAATACTACAGCGAGAATAAAAGTTACGCCTTTCTTTGCGTGAACATTTGTGCGGCGTTATGCAAATCTTCCCACACAGTGATGTAGATATGTGGGGCGTGTTAGAACGAGCCGTTTTAGGTAGGTGTGGTTAACTCTTAACTTTTATAAAGAATATCTCTTTGGATTTGAGACTTTAGTCTTTGCAACTTTACAGATCTTCTTTATGCACCAAGAGCTTGTAGCACTCCAAAGAGAAAGGAAAAATTGAAATCAAATGAACCCTTTAAGTTAAAATAGGTGATTTGTTTTTTACAGTATGTCGTGTATTGTAGTCAACAAAAGTGAGTTTAATTTTGAGCACCACATTGCTTTCCGATAACTACAAAATATTTGACATCAAAATGTGGAGCAAGTTACAGCATTCTGAGAAATGAACTTCCTGTTCGTAGTCGATAAAAATTAAAGTTCATTAATTAACGTTACATACAAAAAAACATACACTGCGTACATTAACAGATATAAGCTAAATACAAATTTCTATACTGTCAAATATTCATTTTTAATATAATCTAGTTTTTTTTGGAAGTACCTCATATGAATGTGATCATTCATAATTAAAATTTAAAAAAATGATCAGTCCATTTTAATTCTACCTCCTTGACATTTCGAAATACATTTCGCATCTTAAATGCTAACTTCAATTCAAATTCAGGAACCCTTGTCAATGACCCGTACATCGCCCACATTCTTTGAACCAAGTTACAGTGATTGACTGATCTTAATATTTTAGCATTTCGAAGGTAGAGGTTCATATCAATCAGGCCACTGATTTCAGAGTATGCATAAGAATGGACAAGATGTTTCACACACCTTTCTCTCTGTGGCTTTCTCGTTTTCAAGTCCTCGGCAGCACACCAGCAGCTCGTGCAGCGCCAGACTCATGGTCTTTCAGAGGCAATGACTCCAGCTCCTCAGCTGTTTAATGGAGTATGTAGAGATCTCTGGGTCAAGTGTCTGTCTGTGTACATCCTGCTGCATCTGCTTACTGACGCATCATCGCGCGTCAAAACTATTGATCCGGCGTATAGACTTGATCTATTCAATACCGAAAATCTGCTTAAAAATCATGTGTCTGTTATGTGTCTGCTTACAGTGCTTTCTTTATCATCCGCCTCTTCAACTTTTCTTTTCCATGCGTGTCACATCAGTACCGCCTTCCAGCTCTTCTTCACTCAACTCATGCCGCTTGGGCTTCATTACTGCCATCTAAAGGACAGAGACAGTACTAGCTCATGAATATAGATTCACTTTAGCGCTGGTACAATGGTAGTCCTTTTTAGAGAATTGTATATACTCACAGTCTGTAAACAAGTAGTTTAGAAATGCTATATACAATATGACCTAACAGAAACAAATGAATAATGTGCATTTAACTTTATGAAATGAATAATTGCGCAATGAACTGAAATGAACTTTGACTTCATTTTCATGTACGGCAATTGGGGCATTTCATGCCAAAAGAAATGTGCACAACAAGGACATTCAGAATATTTCAAACTCAATTTATTTTGCATTGATACTGTTTATGTGTTGTATTTGTTTTATAGATATGGAAATACTTTTTAAAGGGGTGATAACGAAAGAAAGAGAGAGAGAGAGAGCTACTTTTTTCCCCCACTGTACACTGATGGGTCCAAAGATCCAGATAAGGGGATAACAGGCAGGGGACGGATTTAGTGAATTGGGGGCCCCAGGCAAAATATAGGAAGGGGGCCCTATACATTTGCACACATTTTCCTAGATCAACCTTGAGGTTCCATTTTGTTGTTTTCAGTGTAAGCCTGTGTGCAAAGGCTGTCTAATTCTAAACTTTAAAATGCATTTATTTTTAGTTGTTTTAACTACAAATTTAAATAAAACTGAAAAAAGAATGAAAAGGCAATTATACGTTTACACACCTAAAATACGTATATAAAGAGCATGCTCACAGATGAGAACAAAACCGTGTTGGATGAAGTGGATTAGAGCCCTGCACGGGTCTCAAATATAGGCCCCAGCCCATCTTTTTTCCCCTTTTCCCCAAAAAAAGCCTATACTAGGCTACTGTTTCAGCTATTCAAATAGTTCAGTTTTGTATGTAATGGAAAAGTGATTAAATTTTGTTTCTTTTTTTTATAAAGTACATTTAGAAAAATATTTGGAGTATTTTTTGTTCGTTAAATGTAAGTTTAGTTTTTTTTAAGTAAAGGCCATCGGCAGACAGTGATTTGATCATAGCCTATAGCCTATGTTTGATCAATTTAGCCTTCTCGAATCATCAGGACTTGCCAACCAACAGTTCAAGTATATCACAATGTTAGTTTAAATGTTTAACCTATATAAATGTGCATATCCAATCGTTTGCGGAGGAGTGGAAGCTGAAGCGCGCTCTGCAGGA